GAATAACTTTTGATTTTTCAATACCCTGTGCCATTGCTTCCAATATAGAGCCGCCCATTTCATCTTCATCCAACCATATTTTATATTTACACTGTTCTTTAAAATATTTGTGTATTGCCTTTACCAAAAAACTCTTCGCAAACTACGTAGTCCTTAAAAGGGGAATGAGACAGTGTTCCGATCTATCGAATTACGCATTAGGTCTAGCCCAATCTCGATATCTATTACTGACAGTAGTAACAAACTCAGTTATATGTTGTTGAGTTCGAGAGACTTTGAGTCTTTTTACTGAATAAATGTTCGTTCGGTCTGTTCTTTAAAAGGAAGTGATGTCGAAATTTTCAGACACCTTCTAATGGTTTATCATCCCAACTGTAGCTAATCATCAAATCAAATTCTTCTTGTCGGGTCTTTGTGGATGTTTCTTCCTGTTGTTTTTTAAATTCCTCTTCCTTTTCCAATTTCCACAGAACACCATCTGCTGCTTTTTTCAAACCAGCATTTGTTGTTGTTGTTATTTTATGGTCATCAACAAGTTCTCGAATATGATTCATAAATTGCACGTTTTGCTTTAATAATTTAGCTGCTTCGTCGTTAAATGACATTGTAAAAAAACTTTCTAGTGCCAATTGTTGTATTTGTTCGCTTTTATTTTGATCTTCAATCATATATTTTCGTACGAATAGGTCATTCTTTTCAGCTTCGGATAGATCTTTGAGAACCTCTTTCCATGAGATTGCCTCTTTCATGGCCAATATCATTAATAATTGTAAACCATTGTTCTGAATAAATTCATTTTTTAATTGATCATGTTGCAGAAATGCTGTAGGAAGCAAAAACAGTTACTAGAATGTCATCAACCGGTTATTAACTTTGTGAACGCTGTCGCAGTATCGGTGCATCGAAACGCCAAGACGGACATTTTTTCAAACAACTTTTTGCTTTTTCATTACAGTACGGTTATTTTAAGGTTTAGGACGTTACACAAGACTTAGAAAGAACAAAAAATGACAACTTGGCTGTTTTAACGGAATTTTCGTCTCTTTCATTTGTGAAATTCTATATAAACACGGTTATCTGTTTTTTGCTGGTTTGTACCGTCGTTACCTTTGAAATTACTGCATTTTTATAAAACAAAAGCAAAAAAACAAAGTATTCTAAAAGGCTCACTGTTTCATATAATCGATATCAGTATTTCCATGTGAATACCAATACTGATGTATGCGTACAAATAGTGACACAGTCGCGAATAAACTACTTACTGCAGTTTGTAAGAAACATACCTTTTAGTGTTACCATCAAATCGGATAAATTTCCACCACCCCCAGCACTCTCGCCTTCAAAGTGTTCGTTAGCGTCACGTATACAAGTAATCAACGTCCCAATTATTGCCTTTGCATTACTGAGTTCATTTTTAATATCTTGTTCGCTCATTAGCAATGCCAAAATATTATAGATAGAAACTTTTATTGGATTATCATCGTTTAT